CCCCACCCTCTTTCCCCACCCCCTCCCCGCACCACACCCTCCAGCGCCTCACGGTGGCCTGGGCCCAGGCCCTCAGGGACCTGGACCAAGACCTCTGGCCTTGATGACCTTGTGTTTGAGGACTTCGCCCCGCGATGGGGCCCGCAGGAGGGGAGTAGACAAGGTCACGAGTGTGGGGCCCTGTGCTGGGATCAGTGCCCTTGTGGGGAGACCACGGGGCAGGGCGCCCTCGCTCTGATGTGTAAGGACAGAGAAAAGGCATGAGGCACCAGCTTAGGCCTGGAGGGACGTGGGCCCCCACCCTGAAGCAAATTCACTGCCACCCCATCCCCGCCTTCCGGCCTCCGCACTGTGAGAAATAGATGTGCGCTGTCTAAGGCCCCGTCTGCAGCTGTGTCACAGTGGCCTGTGCTGACCAAGACAGCCCCCGACTGCCACACCTTGGCCACCCACTGCCCACTTGTCCCCCTGCAGCTGTGCCCCCCGCCGCCCCTCTGGGGGTCTACCCGGGACTGAGCGCACTGGGGAGGGGGGGCTCCCCCTCATGTCTCCCTTCAGCCAGGGGCTTCCTGCACGTGGCTGAGCCTCCACGGGGGACTGGGGCTCCGAGCTCCCTCACTGGCCCCTCAGGCTGCCCTGGAGTGAGGGGCTCCTGCCCGGTGTCCTGTGGGGGAGGCCGCGGGAGGGGGTGGGAGAAGGCCAGGCCACTCAGGAACCAGGAGCATGCTCAGAACCACCAGCCTGTCGCCACAGCACCTGGGGCCGGAAGAGGCCGGAGAAGGGGGCCGGGACTCAGCCGAGGCTTTCTCTGGGAGCCGTGTTGAGGACAGGCACGCACATCCTGGCCCTGGCTCCCAGCGACCTCCACTCCCCAGACCCCAGATCCCAGGACCCCTGTGGCCCCACCCCCGAACTCTCAGGCCCCAGGCTGCTGGGGCCCAGCTGGAGTCGTTGCACGGGGAGGCCTGCAGGGGGCGCCGTGTGGCCGGCCTGAGCCTCTGGCCAGAACCGACTGGCCCAGACTGCCCGGCCCCGCCTCCTGTGCCAGGGTCTCCCAGACCCCCACGCTGGGGCACCACCCCCACGCGCCTGGAGGGCAGGCCCCGCCCCTGTGGGTGCGCGCCTCCGCCCCCCGAGGGGCTGGGCAAGCTTGGGGTGGGGCTGCGTGACAGGGTCCACGGCAGGGCCCAGCCCCCTCCCTCCCAGGGCCGTCCCCCGGTGGGGTGGACGCTTCACCCTGGCCCCTTGAGCCACCAGCCAGGCACGGCGTGTGAAGGGCTCATGCCCCCACCTCTGTAATTCTTCAGGAGTGGGGAGGACGCCTCCGAGAACCCCCCTGCCCCAGCCTGGCACTGGGTGTTTGTAGAGCGAATGGACGTGTGGGTGCATGTGCGGGCACCAGGAGCGCCCCCAGACCCCCTCGCTCTGGGGCGGGAGGAAGGCGAGGGCGTCATGCGCCCTGCAGACCGCGGGCGGGGTGGCGGGAGGTAATGGAGGAATGAATGAATGAATGAATGAGCGAGGCTGTGCCCAGCACGGGAGTGGCCGTGTTCCCACAGGCGGGTCCTCTGCACCCCCGCCGTGACGGAGGATCGTCCCTCTCCTGCGTGCCCTTCCTCCCGCACTGACTGCCGGTCTGTCCACTCCCTGCCACCCGCTCATCAGCCCGCGGCACCGATGGGCCCGCTGGGCTGCGCTCCTGGGGGCGCCGAGCCCAGTCTGCAGGGGCAGCTATGGGAGGCGGACGGGACTGGGTGGTGGGGTGCATGTTTATTTTTGACACGAAAGCGTGTGAGCACAAGGCCCCGCAAGGAAGGGCTCCTGTGCGGGCGGCGGGGGCCACCTGGGCTGCCGATGGGCAGTGGGGAATGCGTGACACTGGCCCGGCCGGCTGTCAGCCTTCCGGTCTGCAAACACTCCGTGCTTCCGCTTGTGGGGGCAGGCAGGGTCCGCTTGGGGGCTGAAGCGGGGTGCTGCCGAGCGGCGGAACTGACAGTCATGGCCAGCCCCAGGGGCCACCAGAGGGCGCTCCTTCGCCAGTGTGCCCAGCCTGGCCAGCCAAGGACAGTGCCAACCCCTGAACCAGGACCACGCACCGCAGGTGGTGTCTCACCTGTGGCCTGTGAGGCCAGGGCAGCAAAGGGGCCGAAGAAAGCCTGAGGGGCTGGGGCTCTGCCGGGGCTGCCTCATCCCCACCCACTGCCCCCCCCTTCCCCGCTGAGCCCCTCCCGGGCCCAGCCCCGAGGGCCGGCTGGAAGCAGAGCTGGCTCCAGCAGGCAGAGGTGCGGCTGGGGTAGTGTGGGGGAGGGTTGTTAGCTCTGGGTAGACCCCCACCCAGAACCCTACTGAGCCCCAAGCCGTGTCCCCATCAGTCAGCGAGGGACCCTGAGACGCATGTTGCTTCTCACACTTGGTCATTCATTCATTCACGTGACAAACGTGCTGAGAGCCTTCTGCGCCAGGCCCTGGGGGTCGGCAGGGACAGAGGCCCAGGCCCTGCCCCATGGAGCCGACCTGGCTGGGGGAGGGGGAGGGGAGCAGACGATGAAAGAATAAATTGTCAAGTACGGGACATGTGGGGGTGACAGCACTGTTGGGGGGCATAGAGTGGGGAGGAAGTTGGCTTAGGGGCATCTCGGGGGGTTCCAGGTGCCCCTCCAACCAGTAAGATCCTCTACCTTCCCCAGCGTCCCCACCCCCACCCTCCACACCAAGGAGGCTCCCCCACCTCTGCCAAGCTTCCGGGGCTGGGGCGCTCACTCCGCAGCTGTGCCAGCCAGCAGGGACTCCGGGGGCCCTGACATGCTTGAGGCCAGAGCAGTAGGGAGCACAGGAGACAGAGCGGGGTGCTCACACGACTGCCCAAGGAGGGGCCAGCCCTGGACCCTGCAAGCCCACTCCCACGGAGCGTAGACAGCCCCCCCCCGACGAACCCAGCACCCAGCGGGCAGGTAGGTGGGGTGGCCCCCACCCTGGGGAGTGCACTGCACAGAGGTTGTGGGCCCCCACCCCTCAGATGGTCTGGGGCCACAGCATGGGTCATCCTGCACCAGGCCAGGCAGACAAGGCAGCCTGGGCACTGGGTAGGCCCGTGAAGGTGCCTCGTGCACAAGCCCCACCCTGGGGAGGTCTCAAGGAATCAGAAACACATGGCCAGGCCGGCCTGGCGTCCCTGTGTCCCTGCGTCCAGCCCGCGGGCAGCTCACCCGCAGAGCGGAGAGGGGGGACCCGGGTGGCAGGGT